CGCTTTACTTTCCCCCAGTTTTTCTCTCCCGGGTCCTTGTCTTGCCCCCCCCCCCCCCCCCCCCCCTCCGCCCTCCTTCCCCTTCCCCCTCCTTTTAACTTTCCCTCTCCTATAGTGGAGCTCCGAAGGCGAAGCGTCTGGCAATAAATTCATTTGTTTGTTGAAAGTTGAAAGATGTGTTGTCCCGTCTCCTGTTTCTACGTATATAACTCTTTCTAAACCTACATCATTACCAACGCGCTCACTAAGAAGTTTATTATTTACAAGAGCTATGTGTTTGTCACGTCCACAACCGCCGTACGTCGGACCTTCGGGTTTCCAGCCAGGCCCCTTTCTCCGTGCCGCCTTCTTCATCTCGAGACTGTATCTGCTTCGCCTGCGCCTGCGATCGTTTGGACTCTACCTCAGGAAGACTATCCCTCACCCCGCCGTCCACCAGGTATTTGGATTCAACTCTGCCAGCTGGACTGCCAACTACAGAGTCATGCAGATAGCACGCAGTGAGCTCTCGCAGGAAATCCTTGTCATGCAGAGGTCACTTCCCGGTCTCATGACGGGCATCTTCGGTGCCCGCTTTGAAGGTTCACCCTTCGTACATATTTCTAACCAAGTCAGGACAAGACCTCCTGGATTCATCTTGGAAGTTCGTAATTGTTACTGCATCCACAGAAAAACGAGCGAACCAGTGTCCCAAGCTTCAGCCTCCGATAAATCTCTCGGGCTCGAAACTATCACCGCAAGCCGAGGCGCTGCTCTCAAAGGGACCCAAATTTGCTCCCCCTGTCACACCGTCAAGAGTGGATCAGCTCGCAGCGGTACACCAGATCGCGTCGAGAATTCCGGAGCCTGCCCGACAAGAGTCCCTCGGCGTTGGTTCCCGCTTGGTGTGCATGCATGGAGCAGCCCACCCAACCAAACCAGAATTCCCCCAAGTGGTGAATGAACTCCAGGGGTCTGACCTGAGGCTTTTGGAGGCAGACAAGACAGGAGTGTTTGTGGTTATGAACGAGTCTAACTTCGGTGAAAAGGTTGAACTCGCCATCAAGAAAAACTTCGTCCTCGTTAACAAAAGACCGTCCGGCACCCTCCGTTCGGAAGTCAAAGACATCCTGCAGGTCGAACAACCTTTCGTCGCTTCTCACGAGAGTGTCGGCCCCTGCGAACCAGTATCTAAAAGTTTTTTTCACTGCCAAGACCCACAAACCGGAGATCCCGCTAAGGAGCATCGTATCAGAAAATGGATGCTGGCAGAAGCCTCTGGCTCTCTACCTGCAGAAGCACCTGGCAGCCGTCCCCCTGGACCAGCCTTTCCGCGTGGGCAGCTCTCAGGAACTCCTCCCAGCCCTCCAGCTTCTCCACACATCAGGCCCAGGTACCACTTTCTTCTCCCTAGACATCACCGACATGTACTACAGCCTCGACTTCAACATCCTCCTGGATGCGGTAGAAAAAGCCATCACCACACAGGGTATCGTCAAATTCCAAAACTCTTCCGGCATCCCCCTCAGCGCGTTCCTGCAATTAATCAGGGTATATCTTCGGTCGACCATGGTGGAGCATGACGGGAAAATATATTTACAAAAATCGGGTGTCTGCATCGGGTCCTGCCTGGCACCTTCGCTCAGCGAAGTCTACCTTTCCTTCGTGGATCAGGCCGTGAAGGAGCAACTGGACAGCGTCGCCCCAGGAACCCAGGTGTTCAGATATGTGGATGACTATCTGGTGCTCCACGACTCCGGCGCGCCCCACCGCCGCCATCCAGAAAGCCTTCACGGATAACGCAAACGGCCTGAGCTTCACCAGGGAGGACCCCTCGGCGGAGGGTCTCCAGTTCCTGGACGTACGCCTTGTGGCCACCCAGGGAGGCACTTGCTGGCGCTTCCAGCAGCGGACGCAGAAGCCGGGGCTACCATTTACTAGCCACCATTCAAAGACAGTAAAAGCAGGCATCGCAAAAAGTCTCATGTCCTCCACCCGCACAAAGTCCTGTCAACACCTCTCCTCATCTAGCCTGGAGGGACAGCTCAGCCGCCTCAAAAACGCCGGATACCCGCGCGACCTGCTGGCCTCCACGCTCAGAAAACTAATAGTTGAAAAAGCCACCGCTCGGAAGCCTGCCCGGCAGAGGTATACAACCATCCCCTATTTCCACAACACTGCCCACCGACTAAAAACAGTGGCTCGACGTTTTCGACATGGACGTTGCGTTTTCGTGCCCCTTCAAGTTGAGCGCCATGTGCCGCCTGGTAAACTCTCCCCCCTCCTCCCAAGATCAGCTGCGCCAAGAGGCATGCGGCCCCCTTTGTTCCCTGCGCGGTCGGACGGGTGTATTCAGTGCCCTTCTCGTGCGGGGCAGAGTACATCGGACAGACGGGCCGCTGCCTCAACGACCGCCTGCGCGAACATGAGAGAGAAATCGAAAAAAACGACGAAGACTCCCAACACCCCCATGGTGCATCACCTCAAGGCTTGCGCTCCCATGTGCCCCCGAGTTCCCGTCCGCGCGTGTTCTGGGGGCCAACAAGAACCGCTACGGGCGCGAGATCGTGGAGGCGTTCGCCATAAAAGAGGCGCCGAGGAACATTTTCCTCGGCCTCGTTGTCGCTGTCCGAGAGGGAGGCGACATTCCTGAGACCGGAGTTGACGGCCTTGGTGGGCCGGGCGAGCGCCCCTTGCTCCTGAGAGGGAAATCGGGATGCTTCCTTCCTTCCTCTCCTTTCCGATGTCTCTGCGCTTTACTTTCCCCAGTTTTTTCTCCCGGGTCCTTGTCTTGCCCCCCCCCCCCCCCCCCCCCCCCTCCGCCCTCCTTCCCCTTCCCCCTCCTTTTAACTTTCCCTCTCCTATAGTGGGAGCTCCGAAGGCGAAGCGTCTGGCAATAAATTCATTTGTTTGTTGAAAGTTGAAAGATGTGTTGTCCCGTCCCCTGTTTTTACGTATATAACTCTTTCTAAACCTACTTCAAAAGTAATTTGCTCTTCTTTTACGGTAATTAGTGATTTACTGAATTACTTTCCATTTTAGTATTTTCTACTCTTCTCAAATTACTTTTGAGGCTAATACTCAGTAACTTAACTTAATTACTTTTTTGATTAGCTTGTACATGTCTGCTGCCAGCTCGCCACCACATATGAAAAAACAAAACATACGAATAAATGTGCAGAATATACGCACTTCAGAAAGTACGTGCAAATGAAAGAAGGGAGAAAACATGTATTACATTATGACGAGGATGCCAGCTGCATCCCATACATTCCGGCAAGCTCTCGCGACACTGCCCCGTTTGACGGCAGTGGGCTGCGCCAGTCTTGTACACGTTACTAAAAAAAAGTAATTGATTACAATTACTATTACTCTCAGCTAAAAAGTATTCGATTAGATTACTTGATTACTCGAAGGCAAAAGTAATTGGGCATTACTTAAAGAAGTAATCGTTACTTTTCCGATTACTTTATTGTGTGAAGA